AGGCAACCACTGTCAATGTACTGCAGACATTCTTACCTAGGAGGTAAAAATACATCTGTTTCCCATAGGTCATCATTCTGTAAGAGAATCAAGATGAGATGTTCCCATAAACTAGCTATCATTCTTTCCCTCTGAAAACCACAGTGATTTCTTAACTGGAATGCATTGCTCAAGATACACATAGCCATGAATTGGCTGTTCACCTCTTCCTGGGAGCAAGTGACTGAAGCTCAGACAGTACAAAAATATTATTACTGCCTTGGGGCATGCAGGGGGTGAGCAGGCTAGGAGTTAGGCAAGCCCTCTGCCAGATGCTCAATGGAAAGGTTGTGTGAGCACTGCTGAAGCTCTGCCACTTTCTCACCTACTCTGTATGCTTCTAAATAAAGGTCTTCTATCCTCTCCTCACCACAGGGTCAGGAATCATGGACTGTCTTCTGTTTCATGTGTCACCTCCTGTGGTCCCAGGAGTTCACATCTACTGTCACAACTGGGGCCCTCAGTCTCATCACTGTGTTCTTAACCTGGGTAGAACAAAGGAAGGGGGACTGGTTACCAGCCTGGAGAACCCTTTCCCCTTTTGCTTTTTCTGTCATACAGGATCCCAGCCATGGGGCTCTATAATAAACCCCAATTCAGTTTCAGTGAATAGATGAAACTGAGCTGGTGCTTCTCTTTTATAAGCTTTAATTTCCTCATCTATTAAATGGAGTTAACAACAATGACTCACTTCATAAAAAGAAGATAAGTCACCTCTTTCCATGGTTCTCCTATCTTTATGGGGCTGGGTTTCTTAAGAAACCGTATCTTATGCAGATCTGCATTTAATAAATGAATGAGAGGTATTGTCATTCTGGTTTATCTCTAACAAACGAAACTTCTCCCTCAGGCCTTGCTCTCTAGCCACTCTCTGCTTAAGGAGTTATGTAGGACTGAAACAAACAAGTGGATGGATTGCTTTTATGCACCACCCCTTCCCCACGTCCTCACAACAATGGTTTCTAAGTAAAAAGGATCGTGAGAAGACCAGCTCCATTCAGGGTTTCGGGGGGGGGGGGGGGGGGTATTGTGCCAAAAGTCATTTGTGTTCTCCTCAATGTGTTCCAGTAGTGGGAATTGTACTCATTGTCAGTCATCTTCCGCCATGACTCACCTTTCTTCAGAACCCTGCATTGTGTCACAGTGAGGTTGGTCAAGGTGTCCCCCTGGGCAATTGCTGATTGGTGACTGTAAATCAAAAAAGAGGTTAACATGAAGGGAAGGGGCTCCTGCAGCAGTGCCTGTGCCTGCCTTAGGTGGAAGGAGACTAGACCGTCATTGCTATGAAGTGTGATTATGAAAACAACCTTGGAACAACCTTCTCTCCCTTTTCCTTCTACATCCATAACCTGGATCCCTCTGTGAATGATTCATTTCATCCGGCTGAGAGCTGTGCCCACTCTGATGTCCTCCCCTATACAGACCTTGGACCTCATCAGCCTTTTGGTGTCTCTGTCCTAGCTAGCTCCCTTTTCTCTTTGTCCCCTCCTATTCAGACATGCAGCCTTCTCTTCTTTCCTTTTAAAGTTTACACCATTCACTCTGTCCTTCAGGACTGGCTATACCAGTCTGAGGTGGGGACAGAGTAAATTACTGAGAAATCTAGAAACCTGTCTGTACTGCCTGAGTCTCCTTCTGAGACTTCAGTGTTCCTGTTCACCTCATTTGTCCTCCAGCTTGAAGAGACTGGTCAAACCTTCACGTCCCTCTGTCTCTTCTCCCCTCTCTGCTCATTTCAAAGGTATGGTAGAGCTGAACATCAGATGCTTTCTTTATTCTTTGAGCCAGTGTTTATTGAGGACTGCCAGGTGCTAGGCATGGTCCCAAGTGCTGGGAACATGGTGGTGGCCAAAGACATCCTCTAGGGTGCTTACAGCTGAGGGGATTACAAGCAAATTAACAAGTAAACCTGATTCTCTTCAGTGACAAGTAGGGGCTGTGATGAAGGGTAGCATGGAGGAAACTGAAGGGGGTTCAGTTGAATTAACACCTGAAGGATTAAGAAGAATCACACCTGTAGAGTAAAGGGGGAAAAGTTAGGCAGAGAGAACAGCAGGTGCCAGAGGCCTGCCTTTATGAAGAGTTGGGTGGGCTTGATGAAAAGGAAGGAGGCCAACATGGCAGTAAAGTGCAGAGGTGGAGAGAAACCCCAAAGGGGTAAGTGGGGTGGCGGGAAACACGGAGTGGGGGTTATAGTAGCAAGCTTGTCTCGATGATAGGTGTTAGGGGTTTTAAACAGTGGAGACAGGTGATCCAATATGCATTCATATCACCATAGTGGGGTGGACACTGATAAGCCAGTGGTATCACCTGTCTTGAGTCAGTGTCTTACAGCTGTAGGGAAAGTCATCACCCACCTCTGCACCAACTAGGTGTCTTGGGATATTGGAGCTATAGCCTAGACCTCCTCCTCAAACTTGGTGCTTGTCTCCACTTTTTCCAGGGCTGGGAGTGTAGGAGACAGGGAACAGAGTCAGGCTCCACAACAGAAGAGGGAACTAAAGGTCAGGAGAGGCCAGACCAGCCATTGAGGCCACGCAGACTGCCCTTTCCATCTGCCTCTACGTGTAATCTCTGATGACAGTTCTGGAATGAGCTTTCTAATGTACCCCTAAATCTAGCTTTTTTTCTCTATTAATCCTTTTTATTTCTTCAGTACAAGTGTCTACAGATCACTAATTTCCCTGCAGTACTCAAACCTTGGGAAATTAAGTATGAATGGGACAGAACAAAATACCCAAAATGTTTCTCATATTAATATTACAGAGTTCAAGAGGAGTGGGACTAAGGGATCTGGCAAGGTATGTCTCCTCAGCATTAGACTTGAGACAACTCTTAGGCACTCAGCTGGTCTTAGAGTGTTACATCTACAGAATCCACTCAGGAATTCTGTAAGAAATGTCTGGGGTACACCCTGCCTCTCTCCTCCCCAGCTCCTGTCGTCTTTCCATTATACTTCTATTTTCAAACAGAGGGAGGCTGGACTGCCTCCAAAAGAAAACTAAACAGGAAGCATATCATTTCCAAGGAGCTGACAGATCACTTTCAATCAGACTGCTTGGCTCACATCACATTTCCAAGGCAATTCTCGGAGAAACACTCTCCCTAGTCAAATAAGTCTCTGCTAAGAGGATTTCTTCCCACAGCCTCACCTGGTAAAGCTACACAGAGCACTACATCTGCTTCCTTAGGCTTCATCTCTCTCCAGGATCCAGAATTCAATTTTCAACTGCCAGCCTGTTATTTCCTGGCTACCCCACCAGTGTCTTGTAGTCAGTGGGTCCCAAACCAATTCATCGTCTTTCCCTTCCTGCTTTCCCGCTCCTGTTATGGCGTTGCTCTTCCCTCTGCTGCCCCTGTTGGAAATATCTGAGTCATCCTTGACTCATCCTTCTCTCTTCTCGATAGCAAATCAGTTGCTGAATCCTGTAGTATCTATTTCCATAATGTCACTTGAGTCTGTCCCCTCCTCCCACTTGCTATCATCCTTCTTCTGAGCGGGTTGTCATTACTTTCCTCTCCACAGGGAGCATCCTAACTTTTCTCCTTGCTGTTAACCCACCAGCTGACTTAAGCCTCTTCAAACCCACATCACAGCAGGTTGTTACCAGCAAGCCAACATGGCTCCCCACTGCTGTCACATTCAGTAGAAACTGTCTCTAGTAGAACTATTTGAGGGGACTTGGGAGAACTGTTTGAGTGGAAGAGAGAATGTTACAGAGTGAATAATATTGAAGTAGGTTGCATCAGTGTATGAAGATGGTATAATGAAATACACTGAAAGCTGTGGAAAAATAGGGTTTAGGGGAATTACAGAAAGAGTACTAGAGGGGGTGAATCTGATTAAAATAGAGTATATGTGTGTGAAACACCATAGTGAAGCCCCTTTGAACCACTAATATACACATAAAAAATAAATGACAGTAATGTAAAATAGTTCCTGCTCAGAGTTGAGTGGGAAGGGGAAGGGTGAAAAGAAAGTTTGAAAAAGGGCAAATATGGTTGATATATTTTATATACTGGTATGAAAACAGAACAATGAAACCCCTTGAAATTGTTTTAAGAAGGGGGGAAGGGATGAGGAAGAATGATGGAGGAGGTGAACCTAATCAAGGAACATCATAAGCATATATGGAAATGCCACAATGAAATCCTCTTGTACAACTAATATATGCGCGGGTGTGTGCGTACACACACACACGCACACTGTCTTTTTGCTGTATAAGTCACAATTCCCTTTCCAACATTCCATTTTCAAGCTAAACTTACCAATCACTGGTGTGGGACATGACTAGTTTTTTCTTTTCTTAAATTGCCTTGATATTTTGATGATCTTGCAAAAGAGGAATAATCTTAATGTTACTAAATTCTGTCTTTCATGCAGTTATGTGCTTTTTGTAAGCATACAAGCTTGTTCCAAATTTAAGCTTATTATAAGGAACTTATCCAAGCTCCTTAGGAGATTGTATTATTTGTCTCACATTTAATTTTGCTTCCTCTAACATTTGGGCACATAGCTATCCTAGGCATTGTTCTTAAAGCTTTACATGTGTGAAATAATTTAGCTCTCATAATGATTCTTATTATATTTCCATTTTATCAATGATAAAAATGTGATGCAGAAAAGTTGAATAATTGGCTGAGGTTCCATAATGAAAAAATGGCAGAGCCGGGATGCATATCCATACCATCTGTCCCCAGAATTCATACTCTTAACCACAGAACCCACACTTGTCTTCATTCCCTGCATTCCTGATATTATAGTTTGGATTTAGCTGATGTTTTCTAACTGGACTGAGGCATAAGGCGTGAGTCCATTAGTGGGCAGAAATACCATTGGTAGTTGGAGTGTGCAAATGTAACTTGATAGCAGGAGCTGACTTAAGGTGTTTCCCACGCAGTCACTAAGGCACAGCTTTGTGGTCTTTTTGTCCTACTTCTTTTTCTTTTTCTTATTCTAGTACATGGGCTGTATTGAAGTGCTGCAATCAATGAGGTCACTGGATTTTGGAATGAGAACCCAAGTTACAAGGTAAGAGACCAAAAATTGGAAAGACTTTAAGTTTAAAGTCACAATAGTTTCTCCTGAAGAAATTTCATGCAAGTCTTTGTGGATTTTTATCCATATGGTTGAATATAGATAGACTGTACCTGACTGACCTTGCATGAGTGGTTTTATCTTATGTGAAAATTTTCCAACTGTGTGTAAAAGCATCTGTGTTCCATCTGAGGACTAATAAGTTGTTTCAGTCTACAGAAATAACTGGCTTCCCAGGTATTAAGGTATTTATAATTATGCCTGGAAATAGGATATTTCAGAGTCAAAGAGATAGTTGAAAATAAGACTGGGCAAGAACTCATCATCAAAAAGCCCAACTATGTCCATTTATGCCATCACTGACATAAGAACCTTTCTGATTCTCCCTCCTGTTTGTACAATGAGTTGCATGGAAAAGTTGAACCAGAGGAACCAGGTCAGGCTTTAATCCAGGGTAACCCTAGAATAGTTCCTAAGAACTCCTATGTTCTTAGAGGAAGAAATCGGGATCCTGGTTATATGGGGCTCATGTAAGAGGCAGCCATTCAGACGCAGTTCATTAAAGCCAAGTTCTCAGCAAAGATGGAAGGGAGACTAAGTGTGTACCGGTGAGTGGTAAAGTTGTGAGGTGAAAGGGATGAGGTAAGGAGACTGAATTGAGAAGTGATTCAGAAAGAAGCCTTGGGCATCTGTTGTACATGGTGCCAGCTGTGTCTCAGGGGCAAGCTATAGCGCCCTTCTGGATCTGCGGTTGAAGGCCACCTGTTTCAAAGGTGAATATTCTCATTATGAAAAAAGGATAATTGTCCTAATGTTCATCCCATGCAATTCTAGGAAAAGTACTGTCATCCCAAAATGTGATATAAGCCTTAATGTGATTAAGGCTTTTTAAGAGAATAACCCTATACAATAATATATTACGGACTCTGAGAACTCCTGTGCTATAATTTTTAAAAATCCTAACTTTATCTCAAGATCTTCTAAATTAATTTGGCTCAAGAATCTGTGTTTCATTTAACACAAAGGAACAACTCATATATCCATAGATTTCCGTGAAATGCACTTTGTAAAATGCTGGTTTGGACTCTCCACCTTATCACGCATTCAAATCTGCCTTTCTTCTTTGCACCAATTCTTGTTACTCTCTTTGGAGTTAGACAAATGACATATAATCCCATTTTTGTATGCTTGGTCTCTATCTCAGTCCCTGGAACATGGAAGAGGCTCAGTAGGTATTTATTGAAATACACGTCTTTTCTTCAGGCCCTCCTCTCATCTTGCCATTTGACTGGCAAATTCAATAAGGTGTGTATCCTCTGGACAGATGTCTTACTGTTTTTATGGGACCAAGATAAGAAAATGGCTTGCTTTCCCTACAACCTCCATTTTCCTCCCTATTTCTCAAATATACTCTTCTTCCTGTTCTTTTAATTTTTCCTTCTTTTTCCTGTTCTCCCTTCTTCTCTCAACCTTTCTATGTTGACCACTATTCAAGTTACTTTGTTGTCAATTTTCATGGATGCTATCATTAAAACATTACTGCTGAATCAGGCTCAGCAGTAAATTATTGAATTCAACTTTTTAAATTTAAAATTTCATATATTCACAAAATTTCTTCATTTAACTCATTTCTGTTTAGTACAAGAAAAAACAGTTTCAACATACCAGTTATGATTCCAAAAGAATTTTATTTTGTGTGATCACAGCTATTTCCAGATGTTTACCATCAAACACAAGATAATTCAGGTGTGAATGCTAATAAATTAGTACCACTAATGGCCACTACAGATACAGATTAAAGGCTAATGTCCCACCCATGGTAAATATCTCACTAGCTCCACATGGCAAATAATATAGTGACAGCAACATGACATCATGGTCAGTAAGAGGACTCATGATTAAAGTGTACCAGCAGGGACAGCATTGAACTCAGAGGAGGAAGATGGAGTAGAATTCTTTTCTTTGTGAGGGGCATTTCTGTCAGTTGTCTAAGGGCTGAATCCACAGCACCCTGAACACAGAAAATACCCCAGTGAGAGGAGAGAAAAAGAAAAGAATCAGAGGCCATTACTTTCTCAGCAATTCCCAGATTTCACCCCTTCTAAAGCTCTCACCATACTTCTCTACCTCGACTCCAGGTTTAGTCCCTGGGGGAGCCTAGGAGGTGGCTCTCGGAGGTGTTCCTCTGCTAATTCCTATTCAGGCATTCATCCTGTGATGGATTCAGGCCCAGATCTCAATTGTTAGCAATGGAGTATTCATGGAAAAGGGCAAAGGAAGAGGCTTTTCCTGATAGTAAAGAGAAACAAGCTCATTCAAAAAATAATGACTTACAGTCACAGTTTACTACAAATGGTCTGGAAAATAGCATCAAAAGGAAATAAGAGAAGAGGGAAAGTAAAAGCCATGTTGCTGATGATATAGCCATTTTCTTTTCCTATAAAATGTCCTCATCACAGTTTTTAAAATAAAGTCAAAACGAATCAACAAGAAGTCCTCACTTAATCTAAACTGAGAAACACACCACACACACACACACAACACATAAGAAATCAGGTCATTAAAACCTAAAGCTCAGCCTCCCTTCCTGATTAACCATCCGTATCATGAAAAGAAGAAAGTTTTCCCTCTCCCTCTAAGTCTTGCTTATGTGTAGGTAGGACAGATTCTGAAGGAGAAACAGACACATCAAGGTAAACCCAATAATTGGAGCTGATGAGAAAAGCTTGGCTTTCAACCCAAAGCAGAGAACTTTTTATTTCGAGCCCCAAGGAAATTATAGAGGTTACATTTAGTTCATCACCACAGTACCTAATCTACCCTAAGGTGTAGGGCACACTGTGGGCGGGAGGGATCTCCAAACCCTTGTCTTACTACTCTGTCCTCTTCCAGTACTTAGTACCCCTACGTTTGTGATTCATATTTGGTAATAACATCAGCCAAACTAAGTGAAAATAGGACAGGCTCTTCCAGGAGCAGCCAGGAAGCTGTGACTCACAGTGGGTTTACCTCATTTGACTTGATTGTGACCCCTGGGAGTTGTCAGAGAATGGGTGGCAAGTGTGCACTTTTGGGGTCCTGACTTACGATTCTTTTTCTCTAGCTGATCACAATAGGTAGCATTTTGTGGTTTATCGTCCCCATTCCATTCCATAGGGGATAAAAACCTCCGAGTAGTATAGCGGTTTTTTTTTTTTTTTTTTTTTGAAGTGCTGCTATAATCAGTAAGCAGGCTGTTTGGTGATTTGGTACGAGTAAGGCAACGAGGAAGCTGAGATCATAATTCAGAAGACTTTGTAATTGGGCTAATTTCCTGTTGGTTATGTTATTGCTCCTCGGCAGTGATTCTGCAAATTTAATTCGCTATCTTGAAAATTGTGATTCTGTGCTTCAACAGGACATTAAAGGCAGTTCTTTAGAGACAAACGGCATACCTCTTCTGTCTCTCTTTCTCATGGAAATGCAACCATTGGATGCAAAGAAGATCCAAGGTCCAACTGAACATTTCTACAAGGGTGATGTGTGTGGTTTTTAAGAAAAGTGAACATTCGTAGGAAAGATATTCTGTAGAGGTCAAATATCTGCATGTTAGGTGGCTAAATTAAGACACCTGTTTGTTTGAACATACTGGCATTTATCTCCATTTCATGACAATTGTAGAATCAGGTCTGGTCACAGCGGTGCGAGGATAAGTATGTATCTCTATCTAACTTTCGAAGTAGTTAAGCAGCAGATAATATGTAGATATGATTTTGTGTTTACTTAGGGTGAGACCATGGGGTAGGAGTAGGACTGCAGTCCATGGGGTAAAATAAAGATCACCACAGGGCCCATAAAAGGTAAGTCTATTAACTTACTAGGAAGGGAACACTCCCCAGTGAAAAAATGTACTGACAAGAGTGCTAAGGTAAAAAAAAGTCAGGAGTTTTAAACTTCTGGCTTAGGCATTCCTGCTAAGGATTGAGAACAAGTCCCAAGGCTAAGATGGTATGTGCACAGTTGGTTAAAACATGCTTCATTGTTCATTGATCAGGAAAGAGAGTTAAGACTTCAGTAAGAGTCTAGTGTCCTAATGTCAGAGTTCATGACCTTTATCATCAGGATAGAACAATAAATCACAATTATACATACATAACATACAAATATGGTATTTCCTAAGTAAGCACTGGTATAAGTGGAACTATTTATTTCACACATGTGCAGATGACACAAGGCCCTTGATGGATGTTTGATGTGTTCACATGAGTGTGCGGACAGTGACCTTTCCTGGTTTCAAGTTTCACTGCTCTTCAGTTTTTCACAACCTTCAGTTCCTCACCTTTTACTTGAGACAGGTGAAATAATCAATTAAATTCCTTTTAGTAGTCTTCAAAGATCTAATGAAAAAATGTTTTTATCACTTGGGAAGAGTTTCTTGAAGCATGACAGAGTCTAAGACAGAGAGACAAAGTATGGAAGTCATCTGCACCCTTTTTTCAGTCACCAGCACAGTGTTTCACATAGCAGGTACATGGTTACTATTTGAGTGGGCAGATGTAAGGTCAAGAAGTATATTTAATTGTTTTAGCAATTCACAGACAGGAAAAAAGTATATGGTTAGGAGTTAATATGCAGAATATATAAAACACTCCTATAACCAACAATAAAAAAACAAAGAACCTTATTCCAAAAAATATTGGCAAAGGACATGAATAGACATTTTTCTGAAGAAGATATGCAGCCATACTGTGTAATTCCACTTTTATACGAGGTACCAATAGTAGTCAAATCCAGAATGGTAATTGCCCAGGGCTATGGGGAGGAGAGAATGGGGAAGTTAGTATTTAATGGAGTTTCATTTGGAGAAGATGAAAATTGTTCTGGAGATGGATGGTGGCAGTGGTTACACAGCAACATGAATGTACTTAATGCTGAAATGTACACCTAAAATGGTTAAGGGAAATTTTTATATTATGAATATTTATTATATATATATTTAAAAGTATAGCTGCTAG